TGGAAGTTCCCCACAACTTTTTGTACGCAGATGGAGAGTGCCAAAGAGTGTTTTCTCAAAAACTAATTTCTTCTATGAATATTGCACTTTCAGTTCAACTGAAAGTTTTTGGGAAAGAAAAACTTTGGATCTCTACTTCTCCATCTTTATACAAAAAAATGGGAAACTTTCAAAGGAAGGAAGAAAGCAAATATTTTTGAAAGAAACTTGTTGAATGTTCAACTGTTCTATTTTTGGTAAATGAAACACTTGAAACCTGTATCAAACTACATTGATGAGAACAACTTGTTTTATATAAGAGGGTTGAAAACGTATCGGCGTAACCAGTTTTCCAGTTTGTTTACAGTATAAAAAACCGGTTATGGTGATAGCCCTTAGTGCACCAATCATCTGCTAAGTTCAGTGATATTACTATAAAAATAATCCCCGAAAAGAGTATTTTTGGCGTGTATACTTCAAATTTGAAGCGAGATCATGCATACAAGGTACTTTCAAGTTCAGTGATGATGTATTTAAATCCAGTTAGTCATTCAATAAAATATTTGAATTTTACATAGGTCATATGATGTTCTTGGATGTGATTCCTGAATGTTCTGCCAGTTTGACCAATATATACCTTAGGACCAGTTTCACAATTTAATTTATATACTCCTGATTTATTTCTCGAATTTGGATGTTTAGTCTCCATTATTCTCAACTTTCCTAACGTATTACCTGTTCCATATGCAATTTTGATATATTGTTTTTTAAAAAATGAAACCATGAAGCCATGAAGAATGTTTGAAATATGTTAGTGTTTCATAATTTTGATTGTCTATCTGACTTCATCAGTAGGAAAAACCTTCGCTCTTACGTAGACTTCTGGAAATTATTCTGTTTATTTAGTTCAAATCCATCGTTTAATGGAATTTGCTTAACAATATTGGTTCTTTATTAAAATTATCTATTGAAAGAGGAACATTGAACACTTTATTAATTAAGCTATTATAAGTGCTATTTTGTGTTGGTACGGATGGGTAGAATCGTAATGAATAGTAATATCCGTATAGGAAGATTTGTTCATTATACTAATTGCCAAGTCCAAGAAAGACCATGATTACTGTATGGTGGTCAGCGGCTGGTGTGATTCACTTTAACTTTCTGCAACTGGGCCAAACCATAACAGCAGAATTCTATTATGAGGAAATCGACGAAATGTACCAAAAATAGTGTCAGCAGCAGCCGGCACTGTCAACAGAAGAGGTCCGATCCTCCTCCATGACAACGCCCGTCCGCACTTTTTACGTCCGAAAATTGAACGATTTGAGCGTCGAAGTTCTGCCTTACCCACCATACTCCCCAGACCTCTCACGAACCGACCACCATCTTTTCACATACTTCGATAACTTTCACAAAGGTAGGACCTTCGCCAATCAGAAACCCAATTTTGCGGGTGTGAAGTTATCCACATCCACAAAGTACACTGAGAAAAAAATATCGATTTATTATTTTTTCATTCACCGACTCTGCACACCTACCATTTTTCAATATGATACGCTTATTGACTGATTTAGTGAAAAAAAAAGAACCGTCCTAGTGTAATAAACTATCTGAAGGGGTGAAAATAAGGTGGAAATATTTAAAAAAAAATCGTAACAAGAAAAATCGACTTTTCACTCTTACAAAATTGATATATGTTATTCCTGATGGTCTATTCGACAGGAAAAACTTCACGTTATAGATTTCCAGGCCGTCTTGAGAGGGTGGAAATGAAAAAAAAGTCTTTGAAAATTGAATTTGAACACCTACAAGATTGAGATACTCCTGATGATCGATTTAACAAAAAAAAACACCGTGTCAGAGTTTTTCAGTTCTGAGAAGGTGGAAATGGAGTGGACACGAAGTGACTGGAAACTTTTATACCATCTTAGTTGTTTAATGTAATGAATTGATGAATGTTAGTGAAACAGATACTTCTGAAACAGTCTCATAAGGCTGCAAACTCAGTATCTTTCAGATGCTCTATATGAATACATATCTGATTGAACTATAGTAATAAATAGCCCCAAAGAAACATATCAGCCTCTTGATTTTCATAACACCTAAAACCAAAGCAAAGGAAAACATAAGAGTTAGTAAAAGCATGTTTTTGAAAATATTTTACAGTATTTAAAAAATTATAACAATTTTGTTTCGAAAAGATCGATTCTGTGAAATATGGTATTTCCATTTAATTTTCGATACTGAATTTAATCCGTCAGAAAATATGATTTCTTCAAGTTTCCACCCTATTTTCACCCCCTCAGACACCCTGGAAAATTATAACGTGAAGTTTTTTTCGTCAAATCGGCTGTCAGGAATAACATACTTCAATCTTGTAGGGGTACAAACTCAATTTTTGAATATATGATTTCTTCAAGTTTCCATCCTATTTTCACCCCCTCAAACGGTCTGG